CAGCGGTCTTCTGACTGCAGCTGCAGCTGCCCCTGGTACCACCGGTAGTAGTTTCCTTGAGCCCTTGCCCTCTCATGCACCTGTTCATCTCCCTCCGTTTCCCCTCTGATCCACCTCAGCGCCTCAGTGTCTTCCCATATGTCCCGCGGTCCCTCTTTCTTCTCTGCCACCACTTCCTCTCCTCGCTTTGCCAACATCATCAGCACCTGGACTGGCTCCAAGGGTGGCGGGTTTCTTGAGAGCCCGTCGACGTGCTGCAGTGTCTTCCCGGGCCGGTGCCTTATCTTAAAATCATACTCCTACAGGGTGACTGCCCATCGTGCGTTTCTCCCAGTCAAGCCCTGGTGAGTCATTAACCACTGCAGCGGTTGATGGTCTGTTAAGAGGGTGAACTCCCTCCCCTGCAAGTACACTCTGAAATGTTTGACTGCCCACACGGCTGCCAGCCCCTCCCCATGGTATGAGCTGTATTTTGCCTCTGCCAGATTACAGCTCCTGCTCGCGTATGCCACAACCCTTTCCTCCCCATCTAGCTCCTGACAAAGTATGGCCCCCATGCCCTGACTGCTCCAGTCAGTGTACAAGCAGAAAGGCTTGTCGGCCTTTGGCAGCTGCAGGATTGTTGCTGTTTGCACTGCTTCCATCAAGTCCTTTAGGGCTGCTTCCTGCTCTGTCCCCCATTCCCACTTTCTGTCCTCTCTTAGGAGCCCATTCAGCGGTGCCGCACGCTTGCTAAAGTTCGGGACAAACCTGCGGTAGTAACTCAGGAATCCAAGTACTGCTCTCAGTCCGCTCCTATCCTTCGATCGCTGCAGCCTGTTCAGCACCTCAATTTTCGCCTGCTGGATCCCAATCTGCCCGCCCCTGACCTCATACCCCAAGTACTGTACGGTTGCCTCTCCCCACCTGCATTTCTTTGGGTGGCAGGTCAGCACGGCAGCCGCCAATGCCTTCAGCGTCCGCTCTACATCCTTCACATGCTCTTCTTCGTTCTTGCTGAAGATCACTACGTCGTCTACGCCGCACACTCCAGTCCCCTCAGCACGCTATCCAACACTCTCTGAAAAATGGCTGATGCGTTCCGCAGCCCGAATGGCATAAACAACCATTCGTACAGTCCATCTGCCCCATGAAACGCCGTCTTCCGCACGTCTTCTTTCCTTATCCGGATTTGATTAAACCCCTGCCTTAAATCCAGTGTGCTGAAAATCTCCCCTGCCCCCAGTCTGTCAAAGATATCCTCAGCTGTCGGCATGGGGTACCTGTCGGGCACTGTCACCTTGTTCAGTGCTCGATAGTCCCCACACATGCGTCTGCTCAACACCTCCCCCAGCAGTTCCTTCCGTGCAGCCACGACCGTCGGTGTCGCGTACTCTGACTCCTATCTTTGTATCAGTCCTGCCTCTAACAACTCCCTGCATTTCTCCTTGTAGATGTCCTCATCTCCAGGAGTCATTCTCCGTTTTCTCTGAAACACCGGCTCATCTGTGACCAGCTTCAGCTCCATCTCCTTCACCGAGCATTTTCCTAGCTCCTGCAAGGTGAATGCGAAGGCGTGTCTATACCTGGCCAGTACCTCTTGCATCGCCTCCTTCCCCTTCTTGCTCATTGCATTCCCCACCTCCCATTTCGGCTCTTCCTTGGCTGTCACGCACGCCCATGCCCCCACCTTCTTTATCTTTTCCCTCTCACTCCCCTGTTCCTGCTCCTCTCCCAAAACCAGCCCCCTCCACATTCGCCGCAAAAGCCACTGCATAACCTGTCCGTCCATCGCCTGTCCTAACGCCTTCCTCCTTTCTTGCGCTGTCACTCCTGCTGCTTTGGTTATCTCCTCTCCGTACCCCAATGCCAGCTCCCATTCCAGTGCCGTTGGTTCCTCCCACCTCTTAGTCTTGTGATCATAAACCATGCCCTCTCCTGGTACCCCGTCGTCTTCCCTGAACCCGGCTGCCCCCTTGTACCCAACCAATGTCGGCCACGCCCTGCGTTCTGCCCCCACCTTGTTGCACGGGCACTGGGTCTCATGTCTGCCCTTCCTGACTGGTGCTGTTGTCCTACCCGGCTCTAGGATCTCTTGCACAGTCCCGCTCCAGTCCCTACGTATCCCATCCAGCTCCCTCTGCAGCTGCTCCTTGGTTATGATATTCTGCCAGTATCGTCTAACACGGTGAGCTCGTGCCCCCAGCCTCGCCGCGTCACATCTCACTCCTTTCCCCAGCTTCCTTGTCACTAGCTCCCGGACCTTCCTCACAGGTTCTGTGCAGTCCCCTTCCAGATCCAGGTGTTCCAGCAGGTACACCACCTTCTCTTGCCCTTCTCTGATCCAATCGATGATGCAGAGCAGTTTGACCAGTAGTGCTCCCCTTGGGTCTCCCAATCCCTTCCCTTTCCTCGCTCTCGAGACTGCTTGACATTCCCAGCCTGCTACCAGCAGGTCCATGGGCCCCCAGCCCCGCACCACTTCCCGTGTGATGTTCCTCACGTCAGTCAATGTCCCCTGCATTGCCTTTGCTATTACTGCTTCCTCCAGAAGCTCCGGATACTCTCTCTGCAGCTTCCTTGCATGATGTTCAGCCATCTTTCTCACTTTCTCATCCTTTTCCACATATATCCACTCCCTCACACCTATTCCCGCCTTGAGTACCGCCGCCAGTCCCGCCCCTATGCCTCCGAATAACTCCACCAGCTTTATCAGCTCCTGCCAAGCATTGGCTTCCGCTGCCTTGCCCACTAATCCTGCTCTTCCTCTTTCCTTGATCCCTGCCTGGTCAGCTGTGTACGCCCTTCTTGGCTCCTGCCTGACAAACTGTACGGGCAACTCTCCTGTTTTGCTCCCCCGATACCAATACTGCTTCCGAAATTTCACCTTCTCCTTCCATGTACAAATGGTCATTCCCACGCCCTAGATCAGATCTGTCCCCAGCAGTACATCGAAGTCTTCGGAGTCAGAGATCCCACACTGTAGTCGTATGCTGGTTTGCTCTTCCCTCCCCGGCATTAGTACTATCTTCACTGGAGTCTTTGTGCATGGCAGCCACTTGGGCTTGCCTCCCTCTGCAGTCATAACCAGCATTCCCCGTTTTATGTGCTGCCCTTGTCCCGTAAGTCCCAGCTTCTGTGCTAGCCGTTTCCCCAGCATCACGCTCTGTGCCCCTGTATCTAGGATTGCAGTCTTCGCTATCTCCCCTCCCACATTCATTGTTCCTGCTTCTGCCACCAGCACCGTCGCTTGGCTGGCTAGTCGGTCCTTGGGATGCCTGGCTGGCTCCTCATCCCCTTCACTCTTTTCTTCCGTTTTCTGCTTCGGTCTCCCTCTCTCCTTCACCATGTGTTCCTTCCTCCCATCCTTGCCCCCACTCCTCAGACCCATGTCTTCACGGCAGCGCATTGCTAAAAAGGTGTGTTCTGGCTACCGTTCTTCCTCCTCTCTTTCCTCCTCTTCCTCCTCTCTTGCATACAAGCTCGCTTCCTTCTCATTCTTGCCTCCCATCGCCAGCAACCGCGCTTGCAGCTTCTCGATCTGGTTTGCTATGTCCTCCTGTGACCTTCTCGATCCTCCCGTCTTCTGATAGCAGTCTTTCTGTTGATGCCCCCTTTTTCCGCACACTTCACAAATCGGCGCATCAGGGCACTCCCGCCGGCGGTGGCCTGGTTTGCCACATGTGTCACAGTTTTTGCTGTTCATCTTCACGTGCCCTGGCTGTCTACATCTGTAGTACGTCCTAGTATCTGTCCTCCTCTCCTGCCGCTGCTCCTCTCCGCTTCCTGCCCCTGGTATCATCGCAGCTGCCCAGGTGGGTCGTTTCTTCTCTGCTGCTTTAGGCAGGTATGCCTCGTAACGCCTTTGTGCCAGCTCCACCTTTTCAGCCAGCTCAAACACTTCCTCCAGCGTCGCTTCTGCCCCAACTCATAGACCCTCATCCTTAGCCCTCCTGCTAACCCGTCATCCAGCCCTGCCAAGAACTTACTAATCAGCATGCTCGTATCGGTACACACCACATCCTCGGGCAGATTCATGAGTCGCCCGTAGTACGTTAGCAGCGACTCCTCTTTCCTGCGTTTGAAGTCCTGAAACTCTCTGATTCTGTCCGGCGTGTGTCCTGGGAACTGTTTGCGCAACCGCTCCAGGAACAGAGTTGTTGGGTCATCCCCATCCTCCTCTGCTCTCCTCAGCCACTCCTGCATTTTCATGCGATACAAAGTCTCTGCCTCCCCTCCCAAGGTGTTGGGCAAACTCAGAAAGAAGTCGATGGGGTCCATCCCTCCCCGATCGCACCGGTATTTGACGTACCCAATTTGCATCAGGTAATTCTTCAGGCTAGTGCCTGTCCCCTTGTTCCCCGTAAAGCGCACAGGCACCTCCACCCGAGGCGGCGCCTGAGTGCCCCATCTTCCTACGTCCCAGGTTCCTGATATCCCTCACTCTGTGTGGCTGAATTCTCCTCTGCGCTCCTTCATCCCCCGGCTTCCTGAGCTTCCCCCGTATAACACCCGTTCTATCCCTTCCCTTGCAGCTCTGGCTCCGCTGGACCCTCCTCCTGCCTGCCCTGGCCTCCACGAACTCCTGGGACTCGGGCTCCTTCTCCTCTCCTCCTCATAAACCTCCCTGCGCCTGGCGGCTTCCCTCCACTGCCTATCTTCCCTCGCAGGCGAACTTCCCTGATATCGCCCTCCCTGCTCTACTCTTTCTCGCCGCTGCTGGTCTTCTCCCTTCCTATCATCTGCCCTTGACGCGCACGGTAATCCTCGTCCCCCTTGGTATTCCTCCCCATGTTCCCTTCCTCTTGCCTGTGATCTCCAGCTGTCTTCTTCCTCACCACCTCGCTCTCCTCTCCTTGGCAGTCCCAAGCTTATCCAATCGCCTCTTGCCATACGGCGCTTCTGGTCATACCCCTGCCTTGGCTCGGGCGAGTGGAATGCTCCAGCAAGTGCATCCTGGCTCCTTTCTCTCCCTTGGCGCTCCTTGGCCTGGCGCTCAACCTCCTTGTCCCAGCCATGTTTCACGTCCTCCCCGTATAGTCCTGCAAGTACGCGCTCTCCCTTCCTCCCTCCTCTTTCCTCCGTCTGTGCTTCTTCGCGATGCCTCCGTCCGTCACCTCCTCCCACTCTTTCTCCATGCGTTCCACCACCCCGTGCGGCTGCAGGTACTTCCCTCTTGACCTTCTCTGGCCTCCCGCCTCCCCGCGCTGTGGGGGATTCGTCGCCATCGGCGCCAGCGCGCCTCCCGCTGTGAAGAATGAGGAAAGAAGAAGAGAGGTTGCACTAGCAGCAGTTGGCATACATATAGGAAACCCTAATTGGGTTGTACTCGCTGTAGAGTACCCCACTACAGGCTAGACAATTATAACATTATGACACACCCCCATAGCCAAAGTGGGGTGTAATCAGCACAATGAGCAAGCAGGCATAGAGCAGGAGTTCACAATAGAGAGCAAAGCTAGAGTTAATCACAGCGGGCAAGTGAGGAGGAGGAGGAACTGTGGAGGGAGAGAAGATGGGAGGCAACGACTGAAGCTGTAGAGGCACGGGCACAGGAGCGGCTGACTCAGTGGCTACCGAAGCAAGGGCGACGGACTACTGGAGTAACTGGCTCCGCGGCTATAGACGAGCGGCAGGAGCAACGGACCCACTGGCGACTGGTGCAACAGGCTCACTGCTACCGAAGCAAGGGCGACGGACTACAAGCGCTGCAGGCGACACGACAGCTACCTTCACACAACCTCCTCCAGCTGCCCCACACCTCTCGACACACACCCCCTGCTCAAACCCTAGTTCCACTCCCACAGCACCCCCCTTTCACACACCCCCTGCTGCACCCTAGGTTCACTCACACCCCACCCCCTAGCACCACTCCGTCGACTCCCACACACCCACCCCCCTCAGCGGCGGCTGCAGCACTGGGAGACAGAGGAGGAGGAGGAGCAGGGGAGACCACACACCTGCCACCCCCTACTCGCCACCCCCAAACCCTAACACAGGGCCGGGCGGGATGGCGGGTAGGGAGGTTACGGGGGGGAGGGGGGGGAGGGGGGGGGGGGGGGGGGGGGCGGGGGGGGGGGCGACGCGCGGCCTCCCAGGGCGCCAAAGCAGGCGGCAGAAGGGGCGACGCTCGCCCCCCCCCCCCCCAGGTCGCCCCTCGCGGCCCCCCTCAGGTCGCCTCGACAGGCGACGGGAAAAGAGGGGGGGGGGGGGGGGGGGGGGGGGGGGGGGGCGGTGCACGGGCCCCCGGTGCGCCGCGACAGGCGACGGAGCATGGCCGGGGCGGGGCCGGGGCAGGGTCGAGGCAGGGCTGAAAGGGGCGGCGACGGGGCCGCAAGGGGCGGCGACGGGGCCGCTGGAGGCGGCGACGGGGCCAATAGGGGCGGCGACGGGGCCGCGAAGGGGCCGCGAGGGGCCTGGAAGGGCGGCGACGGGGCCGCGAAGGGGCCGCGAGGGGCCTGAAAGGTCGGCGACGGGGCCGCTAGGGGCGGCGACGGGGCCGCGAAGGGGCCGCGAGGGGCCTGGAAGGGCGGCAACGGGGCCGCGAAGGGGCCGCGAGGGGCCGAGAAGGGCAGCGACGGGGCCGCGAGGGGTGGCCACGGGGCCGCTAAGGGTCGCGCGAGGGGGCCGTGAGAGGGGCCTCTAGGAGTGCTCGACAAGAGGGCGGCCGACGGGAAGAAAAATTCCGTCGCACGCCACGGGGCGTGCAGCACACAGAGTAGCAGCGGAAGCAGTTAGGTGGGCCCACAGGCCAGGAGCGTAGATGCTCTGATAGCATGTGAAGAATGAGGAATGAAAAAGAGAGGTTGCACTAGCAGCAGTTGGCATACATATAGGAAACCCTAATTGGGTTGTACTCGCTATAGAGTACCCCACTGCAGGCTAGACAATTATAACATTCTGACACCCGCCTCCCCGCGCAGTGGGGGATTCGTCGCCATCGGCGCCAGCGCGCCTCCCGCCTCCCCGCGCAGTTGGGGATTCGTCGTCATCGGCGCCAGCGCGCCTCCCGCCTCCCCGCGCAGTGGGGGATTCGTCGCCATCGGCGCCAGCGCGCCTCCCGCCTCCCCGCGCACTGGGGGATTCGTCGCCATTGGCGCCAGTGCGCCTCCCGCCTCCCTGCGCAGTGGGGGTTTCGTCGCCATCGGCGCCAGCGCGCCTCCCGCCTCCCCGCGCAGTTGGGGATTCGTCGCCATCGGCGCCAGCGCGCCTCCCGCCTCCCCGCGCAGTTGGGGATTCGTCGCCATCGGCGCCAGCGCGCCTCCCGCCTCCCCGCGCAGTTGGGGATTCGTCCCCATCGGCGCCAGCGCGCCTCCCGCCTCCCCGCGTAGTGGGGGATTCGTCGCCATCGGCGCCAGCGCGCCTCCCGCCTCCCCGCGCAGTGGGGGATTCGTCGCCATCGGCGCCAGCGCGCCTCCCGCCTCCCCGCGCAGTTGGGGATTCGTCGCCATCGGCGCCAGCGCGCCTCCCGCCTCCCCGCGCAGTGGGGGATTCTTCGCCATCGGCGCCAGCGCGCCTCCCGCCTCCCCGCGCACTGGGGGATTCGTCGCCATCGGCGCCAGCGCGCCTCCCGCCTCCCCACGCAGTGGGGGATCCGTCGAGCTCTTCTTCGCCGTTATCACTCGGCGCATCCATGTCCACATCGTCATCATGGTGACGCTCGTCTTCCATTCCGCGCCGGCCTCCTGCCAGATCCCACGGATCGCTGGTGGCAGGCCGCCTTCCTGGCTCCGATCTGACGTGCAGATCTGCCCTGCGTCCTCCAGCTCGCACACCCACTGGCGTCACCAGATCGGCGCGATACGCCGCCCTCCATGGCGAGCGCCTCAGCGACCTCCCACGCTCCCTTGAGCGCCTGCCTCGCGACGGAGAATGTTCCCGCCGTGAATACATCCGCTGCCAGCGCAGCTCGTGGCGATCCATATCGCCGGCTTTCTTCTCTCGTTTGTGAGAGATCCGTGCTCCCACTAATGGCTACCAAGAGTGGCCTTGTCACCCTGGTTGCTCTAGGCTTAGAACGGTGACGTAATATCCACTATGCACTGGTAAACAAACAAGAGAACAGGTCTGGCTCTGCTAGGCTAGACTACTAGTACTTGCTTCCCCTGTCGCGAATTATTCAGGGGGCTGTGCTTGCACTGGAGTCGCCTGGGCTCTGGTTGGCCCTCGCCGATTTCCTGTCTCCCTAGGCCTCGAATTCTCCCAACATGCGCTTCGCAATCTTCTGAGTCACCAACTTCGTGTGATCCCCCAGGTCCTCAACTACCACTCCAATACCCTGCATAACAACTTGTACACCACCTACACCACAAATAGCTATGAACAAAATATGCTGCAACTTACCAATATGTTTCGTGACAAAGTCCTTGGCAGTTTTTGGAGTCCTGAACTTGTCCAGTACCTGCCCCAGTGCAGTGACCCAAAAGAGTCTTTGATGCCAACAGCGTGCCAACCACAGGACCACATTTGATGGCAATAGTCTCAGTCAATAGTTGAGCTGAGCGTCCAACTGACAGCACAATATCCGATGGCACACTAAACGTAAAAAACCAGAGTGCTATTAGAGTTGAGGCCAGGGGCTTGTTGTGAGGAGGTGGGAAGAGGTGAGGGTTGGCTGCAAGAAGCGAGAAAGGTACGGGGCGCTGCTGGGTTACACGAGGCGAGAGAAAAAGAGAGGGGGAAATGGGGTTGCAAAAAGCGAGAAATAAGGGGAGGTGGCAATGGGGTTGCAAGAGGAGAGAGATACAGAGCAAGACGCTAGAGAGAGGAGGGGATTTGGGTTGCGAGAGGCAAGAGAGAAAAAGGAAGGGGGCTGCAATAGGCGTCAGGGAAGCAGGGTGGGTGGGGAGGGGGAAAGGGAGGGGAGGGAGAAGGTGAGAAGGGGTGGGGTTTGTGGAGCTGGAATAGATGAGAGAGGCTGGGGGAGTTAGGACGAAAAGGGGTCGAGAATGGTGGGGGATTTGGGCCGTAGGGTGCAAAGTAAAAAAGGAGGGGGTTCTGGCTGTGAGGTGCAAACGCACAGGAGGGAGTTGGGATATGAGAGGCGAGAGGGGCAGGGAGCGAGGTTGATGAAGATCGGGAAATTGGAATGAGGGTTGAGAAAGTGGAAGGGAGGCAACATAAACTCTCTTGCTGCTCCAGGTGCCTCCAAGCACGGGAGACGAGGCGGTGAGGGAGTATTGAACATCAATCCGATTTGTGGTAAAGACAAAGCTGTACCATCGAAAAGTGCAGCAATGATGCTATCTGGGTCTTGTGTATAGTCTATAACAATTGTCAGAAAGGCAGGCGAAAACGAGAAACAGGAAAGAGGGGTTTTCACTAGCAGCAGTTGAGATACATATCATCGCAACTCTGCAGGTGTTCGCTGGGAAACAGCCGGCGGTAAGCTTGGCGATATCGCATCCCTGCAGTTTGCTTGCGGTGTTTTTTTCTAATTGCCCTCTGTTTCCGAGCTGCCTGCGATCTCCCGCAGTTACCCTAATTTCGATTCGTGCAGTCACGGAGCAGTTAGCGGGCAATTGGTGCAAAACTCTTCCCGTTGGGTCGATGAACACCGCTCGGTGAAATTCGGTGCGGTGGTGTATAGAACTCCGCGCTGAACTAATATTGTAAAAAAAATGGTGAAGACTGAATATGAACACGTCAATGTATACGAATCGCTTGTAATTTTGCATAATCACATTGTTTCATTCCCATGAAGAAATGGAAACGCGTACGCCTACAGTTACCATAACTTTTACCGTTGGCGAATGACCGTAGCGGTAACCAGGTAAATGAGCCCTTCGGACGGCTCATTTTCAGCGCGCGAAAAATCCAGCTGGACCAGAATGATGACGGAGTCGCACACCCTGTTACGTGCGAAAACGGCACGTAACTTTTTGCTTTGTCGCCGTGGCAGTTAGGGGCGAAGGGTGTGGAACGCGGTTGAGATCGTTTTTGCGCAATTTTTATCGGTGCCTGCATCATGCGGCCGTTCCCCTCCAACCCCTCCATTTCCCTCCTCACTCGAAGTGCACATTATTATCGTAGAGGTGGTAATAAAGTAGCCCGCCATGGCGCCTCCCTGGAACCCGCTAACTCGCTGGAACCGCCCGTTTTACCCGAGTTTGGCGGTTTTTTTTTTTAAGGAAACGACGCCTCGCCATCCATTCTTTGCCTCGTACCGCATGCCAGACAGGTGCTCGTCCAGCTTAGGGTAGATCGTAGGGCGCGGGCCGAGCTCAATTTTTTTGATGTACTAATTTTAGGGACGCCATAGCCCGAAACGCGTTTTCGACGACACACCAGTGCATGCGCGGCGTGCCGACAAGGCGTACACTTTCACACTTGCGTCCCGCTGTTGCAGATCCACGGGCCGCGAGGGTTTCGCCGTTTTGGTTTCTCTACATTAGTTTTAGGGTCGGCCCGGCAGAAATAGCGACTTCGTCGCTGTACCATCGGATGCGCCGCGTGCCGACGCGTGGTATATTGCGCGAAAGTGCCGCGGCTTGAGGGATTAGTGGGGTCAGTACCGTTTTTAGTGTTTTTTGGCTTTTTTTTTGCCATGTTCGTTTTAGAGCCACAGATTTGCCCCCTCTTGCCACTGAGGGCCATGACCGTTTGTGCTCTGTGGTCTTTGCATGCAGGTCCAGGGGATGCTGTTGAAGACATTGCATATATGTTAGACCTTGCTTGTTATTCTTCACTATTTTAATTCTTCTCCAAGCTTGCACAGATCCTTGTATCCCTATAATTGATAATGGAGTTTACATGTGCCTGTGGATTCACCTGCACTACTGGACAGGGCTTGATTAATCACAAACTGTTTTGTAGAAAGCGCCCAACTGCGTCAGAGAGTGCAAATGTACGGATTCTAGAGGGTTTGAAGCGCAAACGAGCTAATGACGTGAACCGGCTGCTGCGTGCACGAGTTGCTCCGCGTGCCGCAGCAAGTCCGCCTTTGACCACTAGCGGAGCACCATCTGCACAAACCAGTGTGAACCTTCCCCCGTTTGACTTTCCAGCGTCGGATGACAGCGACGGCGACGGTGATGACATAGAATTCTCAACAACGGATGCAACGGCAGATCTTAGTCCACAGAAGCTCCCATTTGACACAGACCTGGCTTTGGCGAAGGCGATTCGGGGTTTTAATGGAGGCATGGGGATGTCGGCAACTGACATTAATACTCTACTGAGCGTTTTGCACGAGACCGGTTACATGAAGCCATCATACAAGAACAGTGCTGGCTTGGCGAAGTACGAAAAGTCTTTACTGGCGGAGACTACGGGCACGGTGGAATGGAGAGCTGTCGAGGTGGAGTTGAGCAACGGCATGAAAGTTACTGTGCACGTAACCTCCATAGTCGAAGCATTGGTGGCGATGTATTCGGACAACGCGAACAGAGACGGCTTTGTGGTGAAACCGGCAGCAGTCTACACGTCCGACAAGAAGCAGCGGATATACGCGGGGCCCGAGACGGGAGATGGATGGATTAAGATGCAAGAAGAATGCCCGAGGGGTGGTGTAATTGCAGCGTGCATCCTGTACAGCGACGGGACAAACTTGAGCAACGATGGGCGTGTTACGGGACATCCGGTATATTTCACACTTGGAAACGTCACGCTCAAGAATCGTTGGCAACCACACGGGCATCGGATGGTTGCTATGCTTCCGCCACTTCCGAACGTGGACTCGAGGACGGACGAGGGGAAGGCGCTTCATCGGGAGGTATTCCAACTGGCTTTGGATGTGGTTCTTAAAGAGCTCAAAGAGGCATCTTACGAGTGAGTGTCTATTGAATGTGCGGGTGAGTGCTTTTCATTCTACTGGGTGTGGGTGTGTGTGTTGCAAGTATGCTTTATCGCTACGATGAGTTTTTTCTTGCTCACCTCATGTGCAAATCCACTTCCCCTCCCCTTATAATTGTATCTTTCCTATGTTCATCACCCTTTTCTACCTACATAGTGGCATTGTAATAGAAGACCCTTTTGGGCAGACGCAAGTGGTATTTCCCGCTGTCTACGCATATGTGGCTGATCACCCGGAAGCGTGCAAGCTGGCGGGGACGTTTGCAAGTCACAAGGCGATGTTCCCGTGCCACAGGTGTCTCGTGAAACGTGAAGACATTAGCAACATGGAGGCGGTGGTCGAATATCGCACGGAAGTCGATCAGGGCGATAAAGTTGAGGCGTTGTTGGCGTTGCCGAGTGGGCCCGAGCGGAACAAGGCATCAAAATCAATCAGCACCCATCCCATCAAGGTACGTATGGTTTGCGAGTGCGTCCATACGTTTTGCGTGCGTATTTGTGTGTGTACGCGCGTCTGTTCGTGCCTCTTTAGTTCGTGTGTCGTTATTCTAAGAATCTGCGTGCATGCGTTTCTCTGTCTTGGTTGTGTGGGTTAAATTAAGTGTGTGCTAACAGTTTTTCACTTACTCGCCCCCGCGCAGGTAGCCTTGTGGGGCTTCAGAGGCGGACGTACCCCTGTCGGCAATCCATACCGAGCCTTACTTGTCGAGGTGATGCACGCGATGGACCTTGGTGTCTTCTTGCACATCGTTTCCTGCATTCGAGCGTATTACGCACGAGATCGCGACTTTCTGCGCTCCCTCGACACCGAGTTGCAGCGCATTGCGACCGACACCCG